CGTCGAAATGCCAAAATCACCCATTAGAGTACCCAATGAATTCATCATCATGTAAGGCCTATTAATTAGAGAGGAAGAAGAATAACAGAATTGTCCAATAGCTTCATGGCGCTGTGGAAAATTCTAGCCTTTTATTTTGTTTTATTAAATCAAAACAAAGATTTGGATATATATGTTTTTTTTAATAGATATAGATTAATAAATCATATATATATCTAAATTTATTATTTTAATTATGTAAATCAATTATTTAATCTTTATCTTTATTTGTAGACCATGAAATTATTTTTTTATAAATTTTTATATGTTTATCTATGGGGAGAAATTTTAAAAGTCAAATATTTCTATGGGTGGATATGGATGAATATAGATGTGGGAGTTGTGGGTGATGGATATAGATGAATATGGATACAAAATGAATATTTTATTATTTTATTTTAATTTTATATTTTATTATAGGGATAAGGAGTTAAAATGCCTGAATAGTAGGAAGAGAAGTAAAGGAAGGTGTCACGTATTTTTTTATCTTTCTAAAATTATGAGAATTTAGGAATAGATTTTTGGAGCCTTTTAAGAAAACGCTACATTTGGTTATATATATAGTTTATGAGAATTTAGGAATAGATTTTTGGAGCCTTTTAAGAAAACGCTACATTTGGTTATATATATAGTATAGATGAGGTAATAAATAATACTAATCAATCAATTTTTTTCAAACTCTTCTCTTTTGCTCCTTTCAAAATTATTTATCACTTTGGTCCCGTTTGGTGTAACTATTAAAATAGATTAAAAATTATAGTTTAATAGATTATATATTATGATTTTAATTAGAAGTTGTTAATCTATTTAGTGTAACTGTTGGATTATAGATTTAAATTGTTGAGTAGTGTTTGTTAAATAAACTATAAAATAACTTTTTACTGTGTAATGTCTTTTTTGCCCTTATAAGATATAAAAATTGTTTTTTTTTATATTTTCTTCAATTTTAATTTAAAAAAAACAACATTTCATTAATAGCGGTTAATCTCTCTCTTTCTTCGGTTTTGATTTCATTACAACAACTGTTATTTCATTTTTTTTAATTTCATTTAACATAAGTTATTTCATTTTTTTTTCATTAATATCAATTAGCAACAATCGTTTTTTTTTATTATTATTACAAAACCTATAAAATTCTTTTAATAGAAGTTATTTAATTGAAATAAATTTATATCAATATTAATTGAAATAAAATTGTGCAATTTATTTCTTTATTTAAATTGTGCAATTGTGCAATTTATATCAATTATTGTGAAATAAAAATTGTGATTTTTTTTCATTACAATACAAATTAATAATATAAAAGTTGCTAAGTTTTTTTAATTTATTAATTCATTACAATAATTTAATTTATTAATTCATACCAAACCCTAACCACTGCCGGTCGGCCTCTGCAAAACTAGAGAGAACACAAAGAGAGTTAGGGTTGATCGCGAAGAGAGAAAGAGAGGGTTTTAGATCACGATGTTTCAGATCGTAAAGAGAGAGAGAGAGAGAGGGTTTCAGATCGCATCACGATGGTTCACAACGCTGGAGAGAGATGGTTCACAACGCTGGAGAGAGCTCTAGTTCACAACGCTAGAGGGAGAGAGAGAGAGAGAGAAAGAGAGAGAGAGAGAGAGAGAGAGAGAGAGAGAGAGAGCTATGGTTCCCAATGTTGGAAATCGCCGATAGTCACACCGGAAATCGCCACTCTCTCTCTCTCTCTCTCAAAGTGAACAGTGACCTTTTGTTGTTTATATAGTGGCAATTTGGTAATACTTCAAATTGGTGAAGGGCAGTTAAGTAATTTTGGTCCTCAAATGGCAGTTGCGTAATCAAGCTAAAAGAAAAAGCTTCTCCTCTCCCACTCAAAGAAAAAGCTAATCTTAGCTTTCCAAAAGCTATAATCTGTATTATTAAGCTGAACCAAACACACAAAAATAATTTAAATTGAGCTAAAAACTGAAATAAGTTAAAAATAAGTCCTACCAAACAGGGCTAAAGCTAGCTTAAGCACTGGTTATTCGATTATCACATACCACAAAGTCCTTGCTTTATTAGAGATATAATTGAAGATATAAGAGATGTAGCAAAACTCATCAATCAAATAGCCTCTGTCTTTTTCGGGAAAAAAAAAATAGCCTCTATGTGCATTGAGACCCTTGGGGTGTCCATTTTTTGAAACCAGTGTTCCTAAGAGCATCTCCAGCAGTTTACTTAAATTTTATTCTAAAATATTATTAAAAAATTTATTCCCTATTTTAAGAATCACTTTTTTATTTACTTTCTCTAACAAACTCCCTATTCTTTCTCTATTCTATTAAAATAATAAATTTAATTGCTTTTAAATTTGAATATTTTTGTAATAATAACATAATGAAAACAAACCAGTCGTCTCCTCAGACAACTGTATATATAGACTGAACCATATTCTTTATTTCTTCTTTCTTCTTTGATCTCATAAATAAACTAGTACAAGTGTATAAACCGAACAACTGTGTATATAGACTGAACCATATAAACAGAACAGTTTTGTATAAACCAAGCCATATAAACAGCATAATTTTGTATAAACAGAGTAGTTTTGAGGTCATTCGATCAGACGTTCGCCCAATCAACTCCCTGGACATCCGGGTCCTTGTCTAGTTGTTGTGTTCTTGCTGCTATTTTGCTTGTTGTTCTTCTGTTGTTTTGGGCATGAAATAACATCTGTTTAAGCTTAGTTTTGATCTCATAAACAACATAGTCCATTACAAAATATGAGTCTTTGGTTGAGTTTTGGCGCCCTCTAGTTTCCTCTTTGCACCTTCTGCTAAAATAAAATAAGAATTTATTAATATGAAGGAGCTAGAGTGACTTTCTACAAATAGAGAGCCACTGTAACAATACTTATATTTGGGGGGTTGGATAAGGGAACTGTTGAGGGTGTTCTTTTGACAAAAGAACTCCTTATTTTGGCTAAAAAGGTAATATAAGGTAGCTAATGGGGATGCTCTAAGCAAGCAAGGAAAAAAGATAAAAGAATTGAAAATCATAGGCTCCACTAGTTTAGCTTTAGAATTATAATTTGAGTGTAGAATTGTAATTTAAGTGTGGAATTGTAAATTGAATTTTGCAACAAAAAACAAAAAAAAGATTATTTAATTATGAGTTTTGAAAAGAGTTTTTGAATTTTAAATTTTGAAAAGAGTTTTGAATTTTGAGTTTTACTTAGGAAGTTTTTGGGTATTTTTTAAAAATATTTAAAAATGTTTAAGAAAATTATATTTTTTATATTAAATATATAATTTTTTTTTATATATAATTTTTAATTTTAAATATTTTATTTTATTTTGTAAATATTTTAATTTTTTTTAATATTTTAAACTTAAAACACAACTCCATACTCAAATCGTAACCAAACACATAACTTAAAACTTAATTCAAAAATTATTTTTTAAACTCATAACCAAACACATAACTCAAAACTGAATTGAATTTTTTTTTTCAAAACTCATAACCAAATTCTTTTCAAAATTCTATTAAAAAAAATTTTAAAAATATTTTTTATTTTGTCCTTTAAAATTATTTTTATTTTATATGTTTTTGAATTTTTTTTTCAAAAAATAATTTATTTATTATTTTTTTTAAGTATTGGCTAAATAATTTGTTATGATTTAGATATATATGGTGATCCAAATTTTTTAAGATTTTAAAAAATTAAATATTTTAAATATTTTAAAAAATAAAAAATAAAAAATATTTAAAATAAAAATTAGATATTTAAAATACAAAAAAAAATTAATTTTTAAATATTTAAAATATTTAAAAAAATACAGCACACAAATGTATGAAATACAGTGCACATTAAAGTAAATAAATAAATAAATATTTAAAATATATAATATTTACCCTAAAATAATAAAATTAAGAAAAATTTTCTATCAATAATTTTAAAAAACAAAATAAAAAAATATTTTTTTGAATTTTTTTTTTAAATAGAGTTTTGAAAAGAGTTTGGTTTTGAGTTTTGAAAATGGTTTTGAGTTGTGTCTCTAGTTATGAATTTTGAGAATAGTTTTGGAATTGAGTTTGATATGTTTTTGAGTTGTATATTTAGTTATGAGTTTTGAAATTTTTTTATTGAAATCACAATTTTAAAAAAGAACCAAACGCAGGCATAATGTATAATTCATGGAATTCAATACATTTTTTTATTAAAATTAATGAAACTTTTTGACATTTATTATTTTAAAAATACTTTTTAACTTAATCTCAATGTTAAACAATGCTCCAAGAGCACTCCTTAGCACTTGTCATTTTGAAAATTATTCAGTAAGTTCAAGTAATGCTTTAAATTAAGGGTAAATTACACTGACCTCCTTGATATTTGAACCCTTGATGTTTGAAAGAAATACTAAAAGTTTTATAATTTTTTGATTATCATAATTACATCAATATTGTTTTTAATAGGCTAAAAATTCTATAATTAATGTAGATTGTGTAAAAACACAATAATAAATCTATATAACAATGGCCCAACGTGCACTGTGAGAACGGGAGAAATCAAGAGAATGTATTCAACCGAGACAAACTTCTTTAATACCGTGTCGTTGTAGTCGTGCTTGCTTGGAACTAGGAACAAAGGCAACTGAAGATACTCAGGTGGCGCAAAAACGAACAATGGTTGCACATCCTTACACATGTTCGTTCTCAATGCCAAGCACATCTTTAGCTCCACAAAGGAATTAGTAAAAAACTGTGTTTAATTCTTCAAATACATACTCCTACTATTACCATTCTATTTTAATTTACACAGAACCAATGTTTGTAGGCCTACTCTTATAACTCCTTCCCTTCAAGAGGATCTATGTACTAATGAGGAATTAGAGGATATGCCTATGAGTCCAATGGTTGGTACTCGAGCACATATAAATTCATGTCGTCATTCTTTTGGCAAGATGGATATATTATGTCCTTTCTGTTCAGCATTACATTGGATGGATGAAAAATTAGTAAAATCATCTCCAAACCGTCCTCTATTCGGAACATGTTATTCAAAAGGGAAGGTTAAGCTTCCTATGTTTATTACACCCCCTTCATTTCTTCAAGCATTATATGATGGGAATGATGATAAATCAAAATCATTTCGACGTTATACTCGAGTGTACAATGCAACCAATGCTTTTACAAGTCTTGGTGCTATATTAGATCCAAGAGTACTTACTAGAAGAGGCCCTACATCATTCACTATCCATGAGGAATTGCAGCATCGAACAGGATCACTACTACCACAATCAGGGCAAGATGCAGCTTATGCGCAATTGTACATTTATGACCCTGATTCAGCTTTAGAAATTCACAATCGTAGAAATCCGCAATTAAGAAGAGATGTTCTAAAAACTATTCAAGGCAGTTTATTACAGGTTAATGCATTTGTTGCTAAATTTCGCCAAGCTCATGCAATTTTGAATCAATTAGCCTTGACAGGACAAAATTTGTCTGCTCATCTCCACTACAGTTCATCAACAGATCGACGACGATATAACCTACCAACTATAGATGAGATTGCAGTTGTAATACCAGGTGATGGAACCAAGGTTAGTGGAATGAGAGATGTTATCTAACATCTACATGGAAATAATGAGCTAATGCAAATCAATAAATGTCACCCAGAATATTTGTCATTACATTATATTTTATTATTTCCACGTAGTGAGCTTGGATGGGAACCTGAGATGAAACTGTGGGATATTGAACGTGATCGACCTTCAACTGATCGGCTTACTCAAATGGATTTTTATAGTTATCGTTTGTTTGAACGACCCACAGAGTATTCAACAATTTTGAGAGTTGGAAAATTGTTCCGAGAGTTTTTTGTAATAACCCTCACCACTGATTACCGATAAACATTGATTACCGTTAAACTGAACTGATTATGACTGATAATTGGACTGGTTAAAGTACTGAACTGACTAACTGAAAACTGGAACTGAATTGACTGAGTGTGTATGTTAATATGTATTCTATCTGTTTGATTGATTATTTGATCTGTTCGTGTTTTATGTTTAAACTGCTAATTGAAGGCCTTATCGGCGGCCGAACCGGGAATTGACTAATGTTTTATGATCCTCATAATTAATGTGATTTTATGGTATATTTATCTGAAAACTGAGTAGGTATGATTAAATTAGATTAAATATTGATGGATTGCAAGTTTTGGACTTAATTACCAATAAGCCATCTAGTGGGCCACTACCTAGGCATATTGAGCTACACCACACTTGAATCAAAAACCATTTCCTCAGCCCTTTTTCCTAGCCGACCAAGAGAGGAAATAGGAGAGAATTGAGCTCATTTTGTTGAATTGGCTTGAATTGCTTGGAATTGAAGTGTAAATTGTCAAATTGGACTCCTAAACCTTGAATACAAGACTAAGGTAGGACATTCATCTTCTTGTTGTTGTTATAGAATTAATTCTTGCATAATTCATGCTTCAATTGTAAAGTTAAGTCTTGTTTTAGTTCATACATGTTGATATAGAGCTCATTTCATGCTTGCATGTTTGAATTGTTGAGTTGTGAGTTGATTTCATGGTAAAATAGTGCATGCATGTCCATAATTTTGTAATGGTCCATGTTTTCAACTTGTTTTGGAATCAATTGGCTCCTTAGAGCATCAAATTGGAGCTTCAAAATGATTTGAATTCATGCATGTTTGCATGTTCATATTATTCTTGAAAAATGGTTTGAAATTGAGTTTGAATTAAACACCCTTGGGCTTGATTTCTCAAATTGAGCTTTGAACCATGTTATTCTATGTGTTTATAAGCTGATTCTTGTCATATCGAAAGATATTTCTGAGGAAGATGGTGTCAAGGATATCCTTGGTATGAATACCAAATTGCCACATTTTTCTCCAGTTAAAATTTTAGCCTTAATTATGCGAGTATTGCATCTAGAAACCATCAATCTTGTGCCATTGCACAGTCCATCTTTTGGTGCAATATTTCTTAACAACATTATAGGGCAACCCACTTTCAACTCTACCTTAAAAGCCAGCAGCCCAGGAGGATCTAATGAATTTAAATATTCATTAAGATATCTATTTATTATAGTACGATCAATTTCATCATCACAGACATCTTGTCTGCTGCCAAATAAGTATGTGTGTTACCGGGAAAAATATTCAATGCTGCAGTATTGATAGCACTGACATCATTCATTCCGTGCAAAAAGAATTGCATGTTCAGTTAAAAATGTTGCAGTCAATGTCATTGCACATCCAGTGCGGATAAACTACTGAGATTATGTCTTTAGATCTTGGCATTGTGTTATTGTTGAGGAAGTTTAACAATTTCCTGAGGATTGGTCCCAATCTATTTATAAAAATAAATAAATAAAATAGTAAGTAAAATCAATTAAAGTACATAAACGTAAATGTATTTCGTCAATTTAAAAGAACCATATAATAGAGAAAAAGTTTGAAGAAATATTACCTCCATCAAGAATTTTGCAAAATTAGCATTTCAAGATTTGCATGATTCAAGCGCATGTTCAAATTTAAAGACAGAACATGTATATCCTTCCATAAAAAAGAGTGTCTTAATGATGCATTCACAATTTGCTCACGGATTCCTTTGGTTATAACTGGTAAGATTTGTCGAAAATCTCCGCCAAGAACAGCAGTGATACCCCCAAATGGCTTTTCACTATCACAAGTGTCCCAAAGTGTGCGATCACTGCCTCAACACAATGTCTATGCTGCATAGGAACTTCATCCCAGATTATAAGTTTTGTTTCTCTAAACAACTGCTTGCAATGATTGCTGCTAAATCCAAAAATTGAATTTTTCAATACATCCAACGGAATGGAAAATGTTGAATGAGCAGTACGACCTCCTGCCAATACCAATGATGCAATTCCAGATGAAGCCACAGTAATAATAATGTGGCCAAGGCTGCGCACACTTTAATGCAATCGCATTGTACAAAACGTTTTCCCTGTTCCGGCACCTCCATTCAAAAAGAAAATAGTTCCTTTATTTTCAAAGACTGAAGAAGTGATTGCATCATAAGCTGTTTGTTGATCATTGTTGAGGCAATCAATAATAATTTCTGCATCTGCCTGTTGTGCCTCATTATGCAGTTGTTGATGTTCGATATCAACCTGTTACCAACTACTGCACTCCAATTTGTAGAAGGTTGTGGCATTGGCGGGAAGTCAATTAAACTTTTTCTTGATTCTTGGAGCATTTGATTCAAAAGATATAGACCATAGTCTTCAATTTGAGCCTCAGTTGGTTCAGAAATGACAAACAATGTTCGAATCTTATGTGGCAAGATCATCACATATATGCATTGAAAATTGATTCCATAATGCATATGGTTGCAGTGGGCTGAGTAAGAATAATAGTAAACAACTCCTTAATCGATAACCAGTTTTCATAACTGCAACCTCTTTAAGGCATTGTATCCATTTTTCATCATCTTCTAAAAGCTCTCTTGCAACACATGCTGATTTAAACGTATTATGCAAAACATTGTTGACCGTGCATAAACATTGAAACATTTTGGTCCTTTGACAACAGTTGATAGCAAACGCAAATAAAAATCTCTCACACAATATAAGGCTAGCAAAGTACATTCTACTGATTGCAAGACTGCCTCTGCCTGTTTCCATCTCTTTTCTGAATAAGCCAAACAAAATGTTGTGAAAATTCTTGGTAAGTGAATGAACATTCATCTTCCATAGAAGCGCAACATGCAAAAAAAACCAGTAAGAGTGACATTTGTTGGCCAGCTCCCGAAATAATGCTTTTAATGATTCATCAAGATTAAAAAGAACGCGGTGCATTCCAGGTAAATGAAGTGCTAAGCTACAACTGTTGGTATCTCTGCATGCAATGGATAACCAAAAATTCGCCAAGCAGCTTCTAGAGGTCCAATATACCTCGCATCGAGATATTGTTGGATCTCATTTATCAATCTCAACACCATCATTGTACGATCATAACCCTTGTAAATGTACTTGTGATATTACTTGACACATCTCATTCCGACACAAACTTCGACATTTATGTGACAGTTGAAACGTTTAGAAAGATATGCATTGTATGGTACGATGTCTCTGTTATCAATTTCTTTCCCCTTCACAATATGAGCTTGACCATTATTGTGACGACGATAGATAGGATATCCATCTTGATCCATAGTAGTGTTTTGTTCTGCGAACGCTCGAGGGTATCTCTTAGTGCATTTACCATTTTCATACATGGTGCTTGTGTATTTCGTGCACCACATGGCTGTATACCATACAACACTTGATTGTTTCAAAAAGCATAGGTTCATCTTTTGGTCTGGAAATTCTGCACAAACCAATTTGTCTATTTGAGTACATGTCCGAATTTTGTCTGGACCCTTAAGAAATAGGAGTGCATGCATATAAGGAAGGCCTCGCTTTTGGAATTCAATTGTAAAAACATGCGCAACTTTATTACCAAACACTCGGTTTGTTTCTATCTCCTTCATCAAACACTTTCTCTTTAACTCAAAAACACAGGCAATTAAATCAGGACGATCAATAGGCTTTTGGTGCGGTATAATAATGCCGAAGTAATTTCTGGCCAATTAGGATTTGCAGTCATGGTGAGAAAAATGTCTGGATGTTGGTTGTATCGTGTGATAGCCATTGAGTCTTGAAAGATTTAAACATGTGTCTAGGACTCCAGGAAATGAAGATGGCAAAACAAACCTTTAACCAATTTGATTGGGTTGAAGGTCATTTGGATCAATATTTGTCAAATCTCGGTAAAGTTCAGCACGGATCTTCCCTTGATTAAGCTTGTAGTAAGTCAACCTATTTTGTTTAGTTGCGGCCCAAGCATCAACCAAAAATTTCACGACCCAAACCGCCTACGTCCGGGTTTAGCCACGTAACCGGCCAGTAATCCGAGATTACGAAGGCTGCTTAACAGTAGTACAGTAAAACAGAGTTCAGGGCCGGCGGAAGCCAATACAGTAAATAAATAATGTCCATTGAGCTGTGACAGTCTGTATGCCAAAAAGATTTTTTTTCATATGCATTCGTACATTCAAACAATACAGTCTATACACAAATTCACAGTCACACAGTACAGGAACCTAATCCCTTGATAACAGTACAGTTAGTAGCTGATAGTCTATACAGTAATCCAACAGTATGGAGATAGACGGGGGAAAAACAAAACACCCCAAAGCCATAGCATGGCAACTCGGAACCTCGCAGTGAGACACAAAGGCTGGCTTGACAAAAATTGGAGTCTAAACCACGCTCCTAGCTCCGATCTGGTGGCTGAGCACCTACATATATATATATAAACAGGTGAGCTAAAGCCCAGTGAATAACATAATGCGTAAAGAGATTAAGAATGAAATGTCCTTACAGTAATGAAAGCAGTTCATTAAACAATACTCCAGTCTTTCAGTCAGAACAGTTATTCAGTCATATGTGGTACATCCATTAGCATAGCAGTAAACAGTAGGTCTTAAGAGACCGAACAGTAATGATGGCCATCAATCAGTAAACAATAGTGGTCCACGAGGGAACCGACAGAGATCTCTGTCAGTAACAGTACAGAGTAACAGTATACAACAGTTGCTAAGGATGCCACAATACGTTTCAGAACATAGGACATACATTCAAGCAATTGACAATAATTACTTCAGAAAACAGTTTCGTTAAACAGTCAGAAAAGATTCTCAGTTGAACATATCTTTACACAATTGTTACTCACAGAGTTTGGGCTACAGTATGCTAGAGCGTGTCTCCCCAGTCGCCAACCCTACACAGTTCACAGGTTGACACACACTAAGCTACACAGTTGGGAAATATCATAACTTAATCCCTAATTTTGCCGTTGGTGTGTTCTACATCTATATCCTCAACAAGATGTCTTAAACTAGGTCTAAGAATGCCTAGAATGGGATGAGGATGCAAAGATGTACTCAAAAAGCAGTTTCAGAATATTCAGAAAAACAGAGTCCCGCTCGAGCGCAGGTTTACCCCACTCGAGCGGACATTGCAACAAGGGTACACGCTCGAGCGTCAACTTTCCCGCTCGAGCGTACTGTAAAAGTACTGGATGGGTGAAATCTCCGCTCGACGCCCGCTCGAGCTTGAGACACAATCCTCCGCTCGAGCGGCCAATCCTCCGCTCGAGCGGACTGTAAAACAGTGCAGAGAAATACTGGATGCTCGGATTCCACGCTCGAGCGCCACTTTCCCCGCTCCAGCGGAAGTGCAAAATCTGGGAATTCCAGATTGCGCCTCCAAGCCAAAACCAGGTTCAAATGCATCAAAAACCAATCCTCTTGGCCCATTTTTCTGGAAAACCCTATA